TGGAAGCTCAGAACTGTGATAATGGTTTTGTGATAAAGATAACATGAAAAATCTTTTCATTCATACCAGAAAAATAAAAAGAAAAATGTTTTAAAAAGAAAACACAGTAAAAAAAAAATCTATACTAGGAGTGACCAGTTAGCTCAGTTGGTTAGAGTGTGGTGCTGAACACCAAGGTTGCCGGTTCAATCCCCGTGTGGACCACTGTGAACTGTGCCCTCCCTAAAAGAGTCAACTATGCCACTACAGCATGAAAGCAATGTGTAATTAGTGATCATGGCTGTTTCCCAATAAAATTAAAGAAAAAAAAAATCTCTACTAAATCACAATTTTTTTTTTTTTTTAGCTGAGCCATCCTGCCACCTGTTGGAAGCTCAGCGGCTGCTCAGTTTGGGCCGGGAATTGAACCGCTGTTGCTCAGAGCTCAAACTCTTGAGCGAGCTCTTAACCAACTGAGCCACTCGGCCGGCCCCTAAATCATAATTTTTCTATCAGATCATCACTCCAGAGTTTCATACCATATAATTTTACCTCTAATCCTCATTTAACTTTATCCTAACAAAGAATATAACTATGGGATCCTGAGTAAAGAAGATCAGTATTCTGTATAGTTTTTAGATATTTGATTTCCAGCTCTGCCACTTACAAGTTGTGTGATCTTGGGCAAGTTACTTAATCTCTTGGTGCTTCAGTATCCCTGATCTGTAAAACAAAGGTAATAGTAACTATCTCATGGGGCTGTAAAGATTAAATGAGTTAATATACAAGTAAAATGATTAGACACATGGAAAGCATTTAAATAAATGTCAGCTATTATTTTTATTATTTAATCTTCTCTAAATTAATATAGCAAGGGTGGTGGTCACTAGTTTTAAAGCTTGGAAGAATACAAAAATATTGGGTTGTTGGAAAAGTCATGACTTATTTTGTCTATGTTTTTCAAAGGTCATTTATTTATATAAAGAACAAAGATCAATCAATGATATATGGCCCGTTTCTTTCGATAACCTTTTGCCATCTTTCAGTGAGCTTC